TATTAAGTTAAAGTATTAACTTTATAGAAAAAAAATACTTTGTCTATTTATTTGTACCAGTTTATTTTTATGACTTATTTAAATATAAAAGCACACTAATAGGTACAGGGCACACTAATAGGGACAGTTACCCTAGTCGATTATTCAACTCGCGTGAGAAGAATAATCAATTGTGATTGGATCAATTTTCCTAAATCTTAAGTCTTGAGTCTCATTGTAGACGCCGTTTAACGGAAGTTGGCAAATCATACGCTTATATGTGAACTTTTTGTTGCAACTGCTAGGTCACTGCGGTAACGTTCAACGATACGGCAGAACAAGTGATCAGCGGTGGTATTGACAACGACATAAAGGTGTGGGATCTTCGAAAGAACGCGGTACTTTACAAACTGAAGGGACACACCGACACGATTACCGGATTGAGCCTCAGTCCCGATGGATCTTACATACTTTCCAACGCCATGGATAATACGCTGAAGATATGGGACGTAAGACCGTTTGCGCCTTACGAGCGCTGTGTAAAGATACTATCTGGACATCAACATAACTTCGAAAAGGTACCTCTTTGTAATATTTTATTCTATCTGTGGCACTAGTATAATTCTTGTTTCAAAACTGTCTTGTGTATGTCTTAAAATGCTAATATGATTCTGTGATATTTGTAGACATTATTTTAAGACTATTTTAAGTAACATCCTAAGATGCTAATACGGCTCGGTGATTGGTTTACGATATCTTAAGACTTATACTTGAGACGATCTTAAATATATAAAAATATTATAATTATATATATATATATATAATTATAATATAATATATATATATATATATATATATAATATATATTATACATATATAAAAATATTGGGTCATCCGGAAAATTCTGCGGTTTTCAATCTGCGGGGGCAGGTTCAAATGATCATGTACGGTATTTTTTGCAATTTATAATTTCTCTGCTAGTTCTTGTACTAAATAACGAAGATTTTCGGCGATGTTTGCTCCAGCAAATCATCATCCAGTGCAGAAACGCCTAGATCGCGTCTCGTCTTTGAGTGAAATCACCTTATTGAAATACCACAAACCACCTCCGAACTGTATCGTCAGAAACAATATCTTATCCGTAGACTTAACAAATTTTACACGCGTTCTTGCCCTTTCCGAAGTAGAAAAGCATAATATTGCAAGAATGTTGTTTCTGATTCTCCATCTTTAGGGCACTATAATCGAATATACTGAATATATGCCATTATGAACGGATGCATTTTTTAAACAAGACTACTCTTTCTTATCAACCTGAAATTTGGACTTCTTCATTCAATATTAACAAAATTCAAACTGGTGTCCGCGCAGATCTGAGAAAACCGCAGAACTTTCTGGATGGCACCCAATATATACATATAAATAACAGAACATATATAATAGATAATATATAAATATTATTAAAAAATATTAAATATTAATTATTATTAATATTAAAAAAACCACGAATGTTTGTAATAGCTTGAAAAAAGAAACATCTACGCTATAGATTGAGGTTTTACACATTTGTGCACTTTTTTTTTTATAGAATCTTCTGAGATGCGCATGGTCACCGGACGGTAGCAAAGTATCATCAGGATCGTCGGACAGATTTCATTACGTCTGGGATACCACAAGTCGTAGAATATTGTATAAATTGCCGGGGCACAATGGATCTGTAAATGACATTGATTTCCATCCAAAGGAACCTATAGGTATGGAACATATGATTCGTAATAAGACGAACGATCTCATATATAAGTAGAGATGTAAAAGATGTTTTTTTTTCTAATAGAAAAAAACGTGTTTTATTTCATTGAAAAAAATACAATTTTAGTTTTGTTTCTAATTCCGATAGCACGACTAATTAATTGTAAATAATAATTATATAATTATATAATTTTAACGTGATCTACATTTAACTTTTACAGAAAAAGAATCGTTTTAATTCTTTTTCTAAACAGCTTCTCCTTAAGTAGAATTTATTATAATTATTCATTGAAGTCCTTGCTTCAAAATATGTTTCAGAATCAATATGGCTTTCTCGTTCTGCGTAAAGGTTAAAATGATAATTTAAATCTACTGTCTATAAAATAAAAAATCATGAAAAATTAACTTATATTAAGCAAAATATAGATATTAAATAGATAGCTGAAAAAACAATTTTAAAAAAACGAGGCTTGTTTTTCTAAAAAAAACGTTTTTATGAAAAAAAACAATTTGTTTTTTTTTCTATTTACATCTCTATATACTATAAGTGCAGAGGAATTTGAATTTTGTACATTTTTTTAATTTATTTCAATAAATAATAACGTTGCATATTTATATTTCAGTGTGCTCGGGCTCGAGCGATAAACAAATCTACTTGGGTGAAATCGAGACTTAATATCACATGGAGAATTCCTATTTAATATATCTATGTATTTTTAAAAAAATAGAGATAAAAAGAGAGAGAGAGAGAATTAATTGTCTTTGAACATCGGTAATTTTTCTCTCGTCAATCTCATTTCCCTTCCTACCATTGTTCATTTTCTCATTCTCCTTTCAGAGAGATAATATCATCGTCAATTAATCACATATGTATATGCGAGCTCATAATAATGAGAGCCTACGCGAGTCGATAATAATGAGAGTCAATCACCCGAATCGCTTTCTACAGTTTCTACGATCGGCAAATGTTAACGGGTACGCGCGCTCGATTAATCGCTGGCTCGATCGATCACGCGAGCGCGTGAGAGAGAGAATTCGCGACGCAGTTTGCGACGCAGCGGCAGGAGAGAGAGAGAGACAGTGATTAGAAGGAATGTTGCGAGGGGAGGGGAGAGGCACACGCGACGTCCGACCGACCCGTGCGCGTGCGAGAGAGGAGAGCGAATTTTTGTCACTACCCGCGGGGAGTGCTGGCGGCGCGCAGGGGGCAGGCGCAGCGCGGCGAGCGAGCGGGGCGCGGGCGAAACTAAACCACGAACTAAACAGAAGAAAAAAAGATGGCCGCCGCGAGGCTGCCATGAAGGGGCCGCGTCGCTGCCTCGCGCTCGCGGAAATGGGACGTTGCGACATCCAAGTGTCATCGGCGGCGTCACAGTGAGGAAGTGTCGAGCGAGAGGTGGTGATCGTCGTCCGGGCCGTGGGTGACGCGCGTGCCGTGTTCGGGCTCCTCGGGCGCGAGCCCGAGGTGGGTCAACGCGGTTTTGTGACTGGAGTGAAGTTGGTAGCGCACCGCACCGCGCTGCACTCGTCGCGCGTTGCAACAACGACGACGACGGCCGCGACGGCGACGAGGTGGACGGAGGGCGCGAGGACGACGGCGACGACGGCAGCGGAGGTGGCGGCGAGCCAGCCGGAGACACGCGACATGGCATCCGACGGGTAAGGCGGCCCCCTCATCGAGGGGGGTGGAAAAACCTGCCTACCTGTCCCTTTAACTGCACCCGACTGCACCCGCGGGTGCACGGCGCGCCGTGTCATGTTCGTGCTGCTGCTGCTCCACTAGGGAAAACGCGGCCGTCGCGACACATACACGGGACCGACGACGACGACGACGACGACGACGACGACGACGACGGTGCTCCGCACAGATCGATAGTGCATTTTTTTTTTTACAGTCACCCGTCCCAGTTTTCTCCCTCTCCGTCTCCGTCTTTGCATTCCACTCTCTCTCTCTCTCCTCCGTTCTTTCCTTCGCACGAGAGCAGCGAGAGAAAGAGTGAGAAAGAGTGAGCGCGGTGAGAGAAAAAGAGAGAGAGAGAGGATTCCGCCGTGTCGCCTTCCTGGATGATAACCGAGCGGCGAGCGTGAGATTTCCCGCTGCGCTCCCCTGCACTCCTTCGCGCGCGTGGAGGCGCTTTCGCGCTGAAGTTAGCCGACGTCGTCGTCGTCGTCGTCGTCGCCGTCGCGATTGGGCGGGTCTCTCTCTCGCTCGCTCGCTCCCTCGCGCACATTTTTCGCCAGTTCGCGTTTCAGGCTCATTCGCGTCGGCCGCCGCCGTGCGCGTTTTCCTTTCGGTACCTCGCCGATCTCTCCGCTCTCTCCTCTCTTCCCCCGTGTTCTTCCTTCTGTTTCCCATCTGTTCCATTCTCCCTCCTCCTCCTCCTCCTCTTCGTCTCTGCTCCCTTCCGTCCTTCGCCCCGCGCGCGCAGACGAAGCGAGCGCTATTCCGCACGACGTAACGCTTGCGATCCACGCGCGAATGGGTCTCCAGCGGCCTATTTCAGCCAATTAAACGGTCAGCATGACATCAGAGCGGACGGAGCCTCTGCTCTCGTTGCATCGCGGCCCAAGCATTCCTATCAATTTGCGGGGTCCGTCAGAGCGCCGGCGGCGGCGGGGCGGGGTGCGGCGAGGCGCACGGACGGACGGACGGACGGACGGACGGTCGGGCGAAACACCCCCCTTCGCGCTCGCCCTGATTAACATCGCTCCGTCGGCCTTCTTCTCCATTGGGAACGTCCTCGCGAATCTCGAACGGTCCCGGGGTCTCTCCCTCTTTTTAACCCCTCTCGCGCCCTCTCTCCCCGTCGCCCTCCCCCGCTCGCCTGACTCTCTTCGCGGCGAGGGCGATCTTTTTTTCCCCTCTCGCCGCGCAAGAGAGAGATCGGAGAGCCGCGTGATCGGACGACGTTCCAATTGGATTGTTCTCCGGGGTATCCGCCGTCACCGCCGTGCCCTCCGAAACGCCGCACCACGTATTTAGATACTCGATATCGCGAGATACACACCTTTCCCGTCCCGTTCGCCCGCCCCTATCCCGCGAATTCCCCGTGGAAATCCACGACGTCGGCGTGGCTTATTTTTCCTCCCCCGCCTCACCCTCCCGCATGAACGAACGAACGAACGAACGTACGTACGTACATCGCGAGGATGTTCGGTGGATGTAAATAAAAAATGGGAGCCACGGTGCCCCCATCGTCGGTCCCGATCGCATCGCGATCGGCGATATGTATATTTTCCGTCGGTGTCTCGCGCGAGTCGCGCCCGGGATCGCGCCTCTTTGACGTATCGATCCCGCGCCTTATGATTTTATCGCGCAAGTTACATACACGCGCGCGACATATCTCTCCCGGACTGCTCGTTACGCGTATCGTTTCGTGAGTGACGAAGAGGAAGAAAAAGAAACTGTCAGCGAAGGCGCGAGTAGTCCCCCCCCCCCTCCTCCCCCTCCCGCCCTGTAAGACCCGAGTGAAAGTTTAAGGGAAATGCGAGTGATTTAGAGCCGTTGCGCAAGGTGTAACCGCCTGTTGTATCGCCGGTTGTATCGATAGGACCCCGATAGATTCGCGATCGCGGGAGAGAACTACTAGAGGTCTTCCTCCCGTCTCCCTTCCCTCCCGCCCCTCCCTACCCTTCTCGAAATAGATATTAATGGCTGACAATTACAGTAGAATGGAATGGGTGGAGATCATAGAGCCACGCACGAAGGAACACATGTACGCGAACCTCACCACGGGAGAATGCGTATGGGATCCTCCGCCGGGTGTACCTGTGTAAGCTGTTCACTTATTATACATCGATTCTACACAACAGTTCTCGCGCCGAGTAGTATTTCGAGTCGTCTCACATCTGTTCGATAATTCGTATGAAAGAGTCAGCTTCGAAAATGTTTTCCTGCGATCTTAGTGTCGAGAGATAAAAAAATAATGATATATACAGATAAAAATGGTATTCCCATATAGATAGGCAGGAATATTGAGTATATAATTTTCTCAGAAGATTTTAATCTTGATTTGATTGAATTTGCATTGCAAATAGGTATTACTTTACTCAATTCAAGGCTAAATCTGTATGAAAATATTCTTTATTTATTTATTTCTTTATTTATTTTTTACATTATAATATTCTCTGTTATTTATTTTCATTTAAAACACAATTTTTCCATGTAGGCTTGTAAGATTAAAAATCAGAAACTGAATAAAGTAAAGCCAATCATTCGGATAACAATTCTTTATTATTTGTTTATTATTTATTATTTATTAATAAAGTAAAGTTAATTATTTGGATAACAATTCTTTATTATTTATTTATTATTTATTTTCTATATTATAATATTTTTTATTTTTTTACTATTTATTTATTCTCATGCAAAACACTAATTTTTTTGCGATGTAGGCTCATAAGATTAAAAATCAGGAACTGAATAAAGCCGAATGATTGGATAACAATTCTCATATTAATTCAAAAACATAAAAGCATAAATTATCACACGCAATCTGTATTACTTTTTTAAATCACGGACGGATAATGTATTTTCGAAGTTGGTTCGTCTAATGCCTAATTAACAAAATTAGTAAATTATGTTATCACGAAGTTACACTCGATTGTGTGCATTTAATTTAATTATATCCATCGATTAATTATCTCCAAAGTGCAGGTCACTTCATTGTAATTATTTTAGAGAAAGTTATCCTGGGAGAAAGTACCGAGTTTTCGCCGGTTTATCGTGAAAATTACATGTGATATACACGTGCCGTTTACAATAAATTTTGCAGGAAGAAGACGGACAACAATCAGTGGTGGGAGCTGTTCGATCAGAATACCTCGCGGTTTTATTACTACAACGCGACGTCTCAGAAGACCGTGTGGCACCGCCCGACGGACTGCGACATCATACCGCTGGCGAAGCTGCAGGTAGAGGAAATATTTCGATGTTTTGTGATACCGATATGACTTTTTTAACATTCTTGTATAAATACAATATTGGGTGACGCGACCGTGTGAGTCACGTCGATTGAGTCGAGCCGCCCGCGGGCCGCGCGTTTCGGAGTACAGATAAAATCCAGATAAGATCTAAGTGCCTTTCCCCCCCTCCTCCCCGCTCTCCCTCATCCCCGAATCGGTATCTGCTCCGGAATCTGTACTTATACTTTATGAATCGCGTAAAATCTGCGAGTTCCGCATACGCTCTCTTTCTCGCGCGCGCGCGAGCGCGAGCGCGAGCGTATATGTATATTTATGTAGGTGTGTGTAATGATTTGTGAGTTTCTCCGGGATAACGCACGTTACAGAACTCGTGTATCTTAAAGTGGCGGAGATATAAGTGTGCAAGAGCGCGTCTGTGCTCTCTTCTCAGCTATAAATAGACGTTTGCAGCGGGGAGAAAAAACTCGGGGTTTACATTATGCCGCGGTACTATCATGGAACTTCTCTCATGATAATGTTATTCGTTCATGTGAGATTTTTTAGACAAAAATATGATTGCCAGATGTTCCGGAAAATACTTATATTCTATGGCTGTCTACCTGCGTTTAAATGTAACAGATTGTAAATTTTTTTAGCGCGTCACACGGGATTTCATCGTTTCACCTAAATGAAAATGTAAATTACGATTTGAACGTGTTAAATTCTAACGAATTAATTCGAAATATAATAATAATGTTAATAACTAGCCAACACTTGTTTTATTGCCTAACAAGTTTCACTGGCATTATTATTATATTTTGAATAATTTACGGTCTTATTTGTGTCGTACG